GAGGCTGAAGACATTGGGGACCCCATCTGGTGTATAGGGGACGGTGTTTATGTAGTGTGAGAGTGTGTTTGACAGTGCACATTATAATGACGGTGTAATTGCCTGACAGTCAGTCGAGCTGCTCGCTGTTCATGGATAGGTGATGAGGAGGCAAGGGCCATCGCTCTCCACTTTTCCCTCACCATCCATCACAATAATAAGGGGAGCCCTCACAGACGGAGGAAGTTGTAAACTACCCCTTTTTTTGGTGTTGAGCTCAGGGAAGCCCCTCGTTTTCCTCAACAAGGCTCCAGATGCAGAAGAGGTTGAGCATGCCAGAGGACAGCAGCTTGCTCTATAGTGTGCTTAAGCCTCATGTTTAGGCTCTTTGGACGTAGGGCAGACGGTAGAATCTATCCCAAAACGATATAGAAACAAGGCTAGGAAGTAGTCATACTCCACGTCAATGCTAAACAGAGCATACCTTGTTCAATAACAGAGATTAGAGGAGGTATTTTTGGATGCTGTTTTTATTACTTCTGTCTCATGTCTTTCCCCTAAGGTCTCAGGAGTTATAAAGAGGCAGGAAATAGGTGTACAGCCATCCAACGACATAACGCATGCAGACGATCTGTAAAGCCTTACTTCCACCCCAATATGCCCAAGCCTGTCTCTATTCCTAAAAAGAAAACACCCGGCTAATGTTGCTAAATGCATTATAAAGCATGTATGTGTCCATAGGTTAAACAGTTCTCTATGGCTTCAACTTTGTACCTCATTATTTTACAGTGTCAGACATTTCATTAAATATCACATCGCACTTGTGTCTGATTAGCCAACAGTTTATCAGTGTTTGAGGCAGTGCATTTGTTTCTGTCGCCCATAGTGTGATGGCAATGACTGGCGAAACAAACAATTAGTCTTGTCACTGCCTAAACCAATCATATGTTGTCTTGGAGAGATGCCCTGCTCACCATGGCAGGCTGCTTTTGAATTAAAATAAGAAAAAAACAAGCAAAAACCAGAAAGGGAAACTTACCCTGGGGCTTATTCGACATTATCCAATGATGCCTTCTCCAGAATACCTGACTAAATCTGGCCTGAGCTGAAGAGGAGAAGTCAGTGAGGAAGAAAAAAACAAACAATTATCCATCTGCGAATGAGCAGCAGACACTTAATTCAGGACTGCTGGGGACAAAGCCCCTTGTTTAGAAACAGTAATTAGGCAACAACATGGCGAGGAGGTTGGGAAGAGTCGGAGGCGGGGTGGAGTACACCTCTGGTCATTCAAGGAGAGAGCAAAATGGAGGGATGGAGATAAAGGAAGAGTGGACAAGAAGGGAAAGAAGGAGAGAGAAGACATGAGAGGGAAGGGAGCGTGTGTGTGTGTGTGTGTGTGTGTGTGTGTGTGTGTGTGTGTGTGTGTGTGTGTGTGTGTGTGTGTGTGTGTGTGTGTGTGTGTGTGTGTGTGTGTGTGTGTAAGGCAGCATTCTGATGAGTGCAGGATCTCTGCCGACTCGCACCACCATTACAGCAGCGCAGAACATCGCCAGAGGGCTTTGGAATCAAACCCATTACATCTGATACTGGATTTCTCTCTGCTCAGAATTAATGCAATGTGGACTCGCCTTCTCTAAAGCTGGCCAGTGTCGCATAGCATCGCTGCGCAAAGAGCTGCACCACGAGGAAAAGGAGGACAGGGGAGGAGGAGAGTGAGGGCCTGAGAGTCTGAGAGGGATAGTGGAGAGGCAGGCTCGCTGCAGCCGGAGGGGTCATTTCATATTTCAATTCTTTTTTTATTATATTGAAACAAGGGCGTGCTGTCTCTAATAACTCGCAGGATATATGGGACTATGTACACATACAGGGGCCAACGTATATGTTTATACAGGGGCCTTGTAGTCCATTTGCATAATTAACAGACTGGCATTTGAAAAGCAGAATGTCAGCACAAACAACCTTGGACACCAAACTACCCCGGGTCATTTTTTTCAGCCGTGTAATTGGCTCCTAATGCAGAGGAGTTAAACATAGAGATTTTCTGCCCTTAAAGCAAAAAAGATCTCCTCGTGTTAATGGGCTCAGCACTCCCGGATTCCTGCCGGTGATGATCAGTCAGCTTGGACTTTTGGAGGTTTAGGAAAGGACCGCTAAATTATAAATTCCAAAAAAACTTCTCTTTCCACTTTTAATTCCGTCCAATCCTCTCACTTGAATGTATGTCAGCAACGTGACACTTCCATCACATTTAGCTGAGGCCACTTATTGGTTTAAAATGACCATTATAAAAAAGTGACTCATTCTGTGCAGTGTTTCTGAGCTGCACTGTAGTGGAGTGAAGGTAACACTTCCATCTATCTCTGCCTCTCTGCTATTCGTAGTGACATATCTGATGTAATGTTTGTGTAAGCGACCATACTCTCCGTGGCTACACAGCTAGCTTCGCACATGGTGTCGTCCAGAACACATCTCACTTGACAGCTACATACAATCTCAAGCAAATTGGCAGTGCGTAGAATGAAACTCTATGTAAGGCAGCACCACAGCCGAAGCGAGGGTTTGGTTTTGCAACAGCAGAACCTTCTTTGGCACTATAAGAACATTTGTATGGAGCTTCTTTATGGAGTCATACAGGGTTATACATAAAAGCCTTCAATGTCTTTCGTTGAACTTTTTCAACCAATTATTAAAATGAGATCCTTATTTTAACTACAATGAAGGATTTTACTGATTTAGTTTATACACACACTATGGCACTATCTAACCAGAGCTCACACTTGATTCATTAGCTGGTAATGAGGTTCAACCAACATTTGGCGTTGCCAATTTATCAGACAGATTGTTTTAATGATATTCTGGAAACCAGCCAGTTAGGTTGCCAATATATGGATGAACATTCTGCAAGAAACAACATAAAAACGACCATGAATTGTAATTTTATTTGCACATATATGTGCACAGATGCTACAATGTAAGTGTTGAGTCGACGCT